GAAGAGAGAGAGAGAGAGAGAGCAGAGAGAGAGAAGCGACGGCCCGGGGGCGGCGTGGAGAGAGAGGAGCAAGAGCAAAAGGGGCAGAGAGAGTCCGAGGATCAGGTGCGGAGGCTCGTCGCGGCCTCATCGCCTTTCAAACGCGGTCCAAGTGTGCGTGGTACCTCCCCCTACCCCTCCCCCCTCCACCCCCCGTTGTCCAAGTGTGCGTGGATACCTCCCCCTTCCTTCCCCCTTCTCCCCATTCCCTTCCTCCCTCTCCCACTAGTCTAAACCCCCTCCCCCCATCTCCCCCTTCTCCTCCCCTCTCCATATTCCCCCCTTCCTCTCCCCTCTCCCTAGTCCAAGTGTGCGTGGGTACCTCCCCTTCCCCCTCTCCCCTCCCTTCCCCCCCGCCCCCCCGCCGAGCACGGGCGAAGATAGCACACATCCGAGGAATGCTGAGGATGTGCTCCCCCTCGCTCAGCCCCGCAGGTGATGGCGGGGGATGGGGAGGAGGGGGAAGGGGGTTACAGGGAGATGGGGAGAGGGGGAAGGGGTTACAGGGATGGGGAGAGGGGAAGGGGAGGGGGAAGGGTGTGAGGGGAGGTTGCTGGAGGAGGGGAAGGGGGAGGGAGTTGCGAAGTTGAAGACGAAAGGAACCGAAAAGAGAGACGGGAGAGGGAGAAGAGCGAGGGGAGGGGTTCCGAGAGGAGGGGTTTGGGATGTTTGGGGGGGAGAGGGGGCTGCAGATGCTTAGAGTGGCTAGAGTGTTATTGTGTCAAGTGCGGCTGGCTGTGATGGAGAGGGTTTTCAGGGGATCGTACGGCGACACTAAACGCGGTGTGCTCAGCCCGTAGGCTGTTTGGGAGCCTTTCCATTTCGGAAGGTGGTCGGACTGGCCTTTGTGTTCCTTCTTTCTTTCTTCTTCTAATTATTTTATTATTATTTTTATTATTATTATTATTTTTTTATTGTTTTTTTTTCTTCTTTTCTTTTTCTCCCTTTTCTTCTTCTGCTCCTCTTTCTTTTTCTTCTACCTTTTCTGCTTCTTACTCTTGTTCTTCTCCTCCATCTTCCTCATTTCCCCCCTTTGTTTATTTATCGATGGACTTTTCCCCTCTGTGTTGGCGTTAAGGGAAACAGGTAGGGAGGCCTGAGGGGCGATGAGGCAGTGAAAGGCGCTTAGACGTCCCCGCCGCCTTGGAGGGCCGCGGCCTGCAACAAGCACTGGTCGCTTAGTAAACACGCCCGTCAAGACCCGACTATAACAACGCCCACCGCCCCCACCCCTTCCCTTCCCTACCCCTACGCGAACCCGCTCTGCCTATCCCTACCCCTACCCCTTCCCCGGCCCACTCTACCTATCCCTACTCCTACCCTTTCCCTGGCCCACTCTACCTATTCCTACCCTACCCTTTCCCTGGCCCACTCTACCTATTCCTACCCTTACCCCTTCCCTGGCCCACTCTGCCTATCCCTACCCTTACCCTTTCCCTGACCCACTCTACCTAATTCTACCCCTGTCCGAACCCGCTATGCCCATTCGTACCCCTACCCTAATCCACTCGACCTCTGCCCACCCATACCCACTCTACCTATCCCTACCCATTCGTATTCTGGGGATTTTTTTTTTTCGTTGTTTCACTGCTTTGTAGGGTTTAGGTCCAAGCACACACGCACACGCACGCACACACGTACGCACACACTTATCTTCATATCCCACGCAACCGGTTAAAGGGGAAGAGTGACGTCATTAAGTATTCCCGCCCTTCGTATCTCCCGTTTCTTCTCTTCTTGTGTTTTCTACCTTGCTTTTTTTCTTCCTTTTTTTACTTTTTTTAATGTGCCCGACGTTTGTTTTCCTTGCCTCGAGCCTCGCCCTCCTACCCCCCCCCCTCCCCCGCTGGCTTGGAGTCGAACCGGAGTTGCGTACTTGTTTCTCACATTACTCCCTCCCCTCCCCCTCTTCCCCTTCGTCTTCTCTTCGCCCTTCGTTCCCTTCTTCCCCTTCTCGTTCCCATCTTCTCCTTCGTTCTCCTCTTCCCCCCTTTCCTCTTTCCCTCCGTCTCCCCCTCTTCCCCTTCCTCCCCTCCTCCCCTTCTCCCCCTCCTCCTCTCCTTCGCCCCTCCCCCTTCTCCCATACACCCCACCCCTCACCATACTCACTCCCCCTGTTTATGAACTGCTCCAGCCCGCTAAGGCCATGTCACACTTGGACTTTTTCCGCTTTACTTTTCCGCTGGCAAGATGGCTCAAACCCCTGCACAGGCTCTGGCGATGATGGACGCTATTCAGGCGGCGATTTAATGCGAAACAACGAATGTATACTGCTAAATGAGAGCTTATTCTTGCTACTCTCATCTAGTCAGCTGACAGGGGAACGTGGATACAAATGTAAACAAACAGGCGAGCAGCTAGTTACCAACTTGTATCTGTTTTTATTAAATACGAGAAAGAATTTTGCTAATTTTAAATATTATTTTCATGTTAACTGTCTTTTTGAATCGTTTTAATTTATAAATAGAGTTTTTGAATTACTATAAAAGATTATCTATTATAGCTTATGATTTGAACCAAAAAAACAACCGAAAATTTGCCAGCGAAAAAGGATAATTATCGCTTGATAAGTTATCGCATTCGGCCAATATGCCAGTGGTAGCAATGAAAAAAAAACAAAAACAAAAAACCAAACACGGAAAACGTGAAAGAACCACGGAAATGGTGCTGATGTGACACCCCCTTCAATGTTTCACTCATTCATTTTCCTTTTTTTTTTTACCCCGTGGCGTAACTTGCCATCCATAAAAGCCCTTTTTATTCGGTCCCGAGGGAAATGCTTCGGTGTTTTCTTCCAGTCTTTGGTTTCTTTTCTGCTCGTTGCGTGTGCTGCCCGCTTGATTGGGTAGGCCTGCTGTGCGACGTTGCAGCGCTGTCTCTTTTTTTGTTTCTGTCTTGGGTCTGTCTCTGTCTTTCTTCTTCTTCTTCTATCTCTCTCTCTCTCTCTCTCTCTCTCTCTCTCTCTCTCTCTCTCTCTCTCTCTCTCTCTCTCTCTCTCTCTCTCTCTCTCTCTCTCTCTCCTCTCTCTGGCTCTCTCTCTCTCTCTCCTCTCTCTACTCTCTCTCTCTCTCTCTCTCTCCTCTCTCTCCTCTCTCTCTCTCTCCTCTCTCTCTCTCTCTCTCTCTCTCTCTCTCTCTCCTCTCTTTCCCTCTCTCCCTCTCCCTTCTCTCCCTCTCTCCCTCTCCCTCTCCCCTCTCCCCTTCTCTCCCTCTCTCCTCTCTCTCTCCTTCCCCCTCCCTACCCAACCCCCGCCCTCCCCATGTTGCAGGGCGCGGGCTTGCATAAGCCCCCAAATCGGCTTCGTTTCGCGAGCGCCGCCTCGGGGAGCCTGGCGAGCGCGTGTATATTGGTGTTTATGTGTGGCGTGTCTCTGGTGTCTTCCGAGGGGGTGGGGCGAGGGAGGGGGAGGGGAGGGGCGGGTGTCATCCTGTTTCTCCGTGCTATTTCTCCCGCGCTGTTTCTCTTCTTCTTCTTTCTTCTTCTTCGCCCTCTTCTTTATTCCTTCTCCTTGTGGGTGCCAAGGTCCCTATTCTGTGCGCCCTCCCCACGCACATGGCGCCTAGCCCAAATCCCCCTCTTCCCCCCCCCCCTCCGTTCGCCCGTGCCCGTGCCTCCCTCCCCTAAACCCTCCCCCTAACCCTCCCCCACACTTTTACCACCCCCTTTTAAAAGCAAAAAAAGAGCCATAGGCGCTGTCTATTTTTCGAAGACTAACGGGGCAGCTCCTTGCCCGCCTTCAGTCCGGACACAGTGACGCCTGAACGACCACCATCCCTCCACGTCCCTCCGCTTCCCTCCGCTTCCCTCCCCTTCCCTCCGCTTCCCTAAACACATGAACAGAAGGCTTTGGGGAGGGATGAGTGGGGGAGATAGAAGGATTGATGGCAGGGGAAGACGGCAGCAGGAGTAGGAGCAGGGATAAGGTTGGGTGTGTGTGTGGGGGGGGGGGGTGAGCTGCGTCTTTATGGATGTTTATTTATTTGTCCGTTTCAAGTTTCTCGCCGGCCTGAGAAGGGTCCGGCCGCCGGGTTGTGCTTATTGAGGTGCGATAACACTGTGTTGCAAGCTGACAGGAGCGGGAGATTGCAAGCAGACGGGTGGGGA